AGTTGGGGGTAAACACACCCTTGTCCATTTTCTTCCTTAAAACGTAACTTTTCCCTCCCAGCTTTGATAAAAAGAAAGCTCAGGAAGTCAAAATTGTCTGGTTTCCAGCCCTCAATTTAATTACAACTCAGAAGAGGCAGGATATGTCCTGGGGACAGAGATTAGAGAAGATATTTTCCAAGAAAGCTATGTAGTTCAGTAAATACTCTATTTAATGTGGTTTCAGATTGGGAGTTAGTAATTCCTAGCTCAAGTAATTTGGGGCTGAGGAGGGTAAAATCTTTTTTTTTTCCTTCCCAATTTTCGGTAGTAGTGGAGTTGAAACTCAAAAGTCTCATGCTTGCTAATAAGCAGGCTCTCTTACCACAGAACTATATCTGATTTTTGCTTCGTTAGTTTTGAGCTTTTTCTCTAATGACTTTAACAACCCTCTTCCATGTAACATTTTTCTATTCACAAATTACTTTTGTCTCTCCAAATAATTGTATGAGATCAGGTTTTTTTTAAATTATATTTTTATTATCTTTGGTCCTACAGATTTCAATTTTAATATTATTACCCTACCTACAGATAAAACCAATGAGGAGGCAAATCCATGGTTTTTTCCTAAAAAAAAAGAAAAAGAAAAAGAAAAAGAATGTGAGTTCTGCCTCATCTCTCTTAGAGGATCTTTTGGGAGTGGATTATCATAGCCTGTGAAAGTACTTTGCAAAAAAATTTTTTTCCCAAGGAACTTGCTACTCTATTCTTTCCTGTGTACAGCATTGCTTCTACTGCTCAGGAGCACTGTTTCTTGAAGAATATTGTGCTGCAGTCTCCTGATGATCCTAGGTAATGAGAAGTTTTAGATGAGTGCCTAGGAATGCACTCATTCTTGTACGTGTGTGTGTGTGTGTGTGTGTGTGTGTGTGTGTGGGGTACTGGGGTTTGAATTTGGGGCCTTATACTTTCTAGGTAGGTACTCTTCTACATGAGCTGAGTCAAGCTCCCAGTCCTTCTTTGCTTTATTAAATTTTCAGATAGAGTCTTGTGCTTTTGCCTGCAGGCAGTGCCCAGTGTTAGTTGAGATGGGGGTCTCATGTACACTTTCTCATTTGGCTTTGTTGAAGAATGATTTGCCAAAGCTTTGACTTCTGGATAGCTGGGATTACAAGTTTGAACTACCACACCCAAGATTACTGTCATAGTTAAACTCGTGAACCATTTTTTACTTGTGTATATGAATGTGTGTGTATACTATATTTAACATATATCCATCATACCACTTGCAACAGCTTCGAATTGGATACAGTTCACCACTGACTTAATCTTTCAATTAAATCACTTAAACTATTCAGGCTTCTATGTCCTCACTTGTGAAACAAGGGCTTAAATAAAAGGTTGCCAAGGTCTCTTGAAGAGCTTTAATTCAGGCCTTATGGTCTTGCTATGGGATCTCCAGATTTTTCCTCTTTTTCTCTGGGATCTCTTTCATATTCTATTGTAAGTCATTGGTCCTCAAACTGTGGTTCTCAGATCTGCAGCATAGCTCTACCTAGCAGCTCACTAAAGTGCAAATTCTCAGTACCTGAAACTCTGAAGGTAGGGCCAGTAACCTATATGTTAGTAAGCCCTCCGATGGTTCTAATTATCTGAGGAAATTTGAGAACTCTGATTTAAGCTTTCTTGATCCTACTTAGTAAACACAAGTATACATTGTCTTCCTCTACTATGTTATGACTTTAAGTACAAGTTAACTGCTGCCTGTGGTTCAGGGAAAGCCATTAGGAAAGTTCCTCTTTGTCTTTCTTTGGTGATTCCACAGGTAAGAACCCCTTGTTCTCACCTATAAAAGCTTGCCCAAGAAATGAAGTGTTCAACTCTTGCAGTCTTCACTTCTTTCTTATGCTTCTAATTCACATGCCTTTCATGATCACACTTGAACTAACTGGCCTGGCTGTTCTCCAACAACATAGTTCATATGTAAATATATTAACTAAAAGTAACAGTATAAAGTACACAAATACCCTGTAGTTAGCTACTCAATCTACAAACCACCACATGAATGGCAGATGCAAATGGGTTTTGTAGACAGTGACCAATCATATCACTTTTTAATTCCTCATCCAGGCACCTGGCATTCATTTTAGGCACCCAAGTGCATGGAAGATTGTTTTTTTCATCTCTTTTGTCTTCCAGTGATAAGCCCACAAGAAATTTTTCAAAAGTGGCAATCCAAAGAAATCAGCCAACAAAAATGAAAGTCCAGACAAGGGAAGAGAAGTAATTCAACACTAGAAGTGAAACTCAAATCAAACATAAACAGAGTGAGTTGAAATAAATGTGGGTAAGGATGATGTCTCTGGACACAGCCAAACAAAGAAAGGCAAAGAAAGTCAAGGTAACAAAAATAGGGAGTGTGAAATGAGAAGGAGAAAGCTATCCATCCACCCCACCCCCATGAAAACAAGTTACTGGCAACAAAGTATCTTCAACGGAATTCACAGGTCTGTTTCCGCAACATCAGGAGTGATGAATACAAACCTGAAAAAGTGTGTGACAATTCGCCAAGGCGTAGAAAAAGATTACAAGCTCTGTAATGTCAGGTGTGGGAAAAGATTATAAGCTCTGTAATGTCAGGTGTAGGAAAAGATTATAAGCTCTGTAATGTAAGGTGTACTGTGGGGACAGGAAAACACACAAAATTACTCACGATTCTAAGTGTACTCTTCGCCTCCTCAAAAAAAATCTCAGTATTTTAAATGTTTTACATGTCTGTACACTAAGGACAGATTAGTGTTACTCTTAAATGAGAGTTTTCAATGGCTGGACAATGTTTTTCATAGGTCACAAATCAGTCATTGTTTTCCTAATGGGTTAAGAAGGGTACTTTCCATGGCTTCAGATTACACAATCATGTTGAGACTCCCATCCAGCCCCGCAGTGGGCACTGTCTCCATATATCTGCCCTCCTATTACTCCTGAAAATGACTCTACCAGAGAAACAGTACATTTGTAAACTAGGGAACAGAGTTTCCTAGTTGCAACACCCATCCATGTATTTAACCATCAACAATTTATGGGATGCTCACATATTATTCTTCAAAGCTCTGGCAACCCAGGAGTACAAACATCAAAGGTACTGGCTTTCATTCTCAATAGATGAGAGACAGATAAATAGACATGATTCTCGTTAGCAGTAAGGGTTATAAAGAAAGTAAAAGAGGGTAATGTGGTACAGAGGGACTATGTGTATGTGTGTGTGTGTGTGTGTGTGTGTGCGTGCGCGCGTGTGCGCACGTGTGTGTGTGTGTGTGTGTGTGTGTGTGTGTGTGAGGGGGAAGCTAGGGTGGACAAAGAAACAGTCAGGGAGGCCTCTGAGTTTCAACCAAACCAAATGTGTTTTTTCCCCTAGGCTTGGATGAAACAATGGTCACTTGTGCAGATTCAGTGATGAAATCAAAACTTCTTATGTTGCACTTTTATTGCAATATATTTATGAAAAATAGCTATTCATATTAAACACATTGCTTAACCTAGTCACCTGTGGCCTATTTTTAAAAATAAAACCAGTGAGAAAAGCCCTAATAATTAGTTTCTATATAAGACTTTAATTCAAGGCTATCACAATTCTTACTTCCATAATTTAAGCCATATTATATTTTTCCATTAACTTTCTGCAGGCCTATATTTAAATACCAAAGGTTGTGGTCATAACTAAGAAATGAATATGAAATATTTTGTACTTGATTGAAAAAAGAAAATCCACTCAACATTAAGTCACTATAAAACAAAAAAGAGTAGTGTTATAGAAAGATTACTAAATCTCTTAGCACCAACCATGTAAGGATTGGCATTTATCCTAAATAATATTAGAAGAAATATTAGTACTTTCATTAGTTTTATAATTACCACATGGGTATGAAGAAAGCCACTGAATTACCAACTTAAGCAAAGAAACATGAAGTGTGAGAAAAAAGAAATCTATGTGAAAGCTTTTGGTTAGACACTATTTTAACCAAATTCCAAAGAGGAATCCAAATCATATTTGGTTTAAAGGACTTTATCCTTACAAAGCAAACATCCCTTTGATGCTTAGCAAGCTGTGAGCAGGTAGCAAACCTGGCGTTCAGTGAGCTTGGTAAATGGTATTAACCTCCGAGTTTCGACGAGAGAGCAGTAAGGACTCAGGGGCTTCTTTGCTTCTTTGCATGCCTCTGATAATTCCATGCTGCCTAGAGCAGGAAGACAAGGGAGTCCTACAGCTGTCTGGTTGTTCCCTTGCCCATCCATTAGCCTGCGAGCTCTGAATGGGACACCTGTGGACATGAAGTCCATGGTGGAATAGTCATTAGAGAACCACGGCCCACACAGTCCTCAAAGCTTACCCTGAGGTCTGTGAAAGAGGAAGCCGGGAGTTCTGACAGAGCAGCATTCTCTCAGTCCCAGTATGCTCTGCAAGAATAGCTATCACATCAAGATGTCTGAAGAATGGCAGCGATCCTGCAGCTGACGAGGAATGGCGGAGGGAGAGCTGGCTTATGTCAGGTAACTGCTGCTAGCACTGAAATTCAATGGACCAGAGAAAGTCACAAAATCAAGAGAAAGCACAGAAGGTAGACTTGAATTAAAAAAAAAACAAACAAACCTACAGAGTTGTAAATTTTATTTTTGTTTACTGTCCAAAGTTACATGATTTTCTATAATCCTCTGGAATCCGACCTCACCTCTCTTCTCTTATCTAGACACTTTGGTGGGATGTTTTCCCCCTTCCCCTCTTTCTCTCTCTCTCAGTGATTGCTTCAAGGTTGATGGCGGAGTATGCCATCTTACTTCTGGTTAAAAGAATAAAATTCATGATGTATTATTCATGCAGGGAATAAAACAATCGGAGCAAAATGGCCGTGCTAAATTTCCAAGAAGTGTGAAATGACCCAGTTCGAATTGCAGTGTGGCATGTTGGGTTGGTAGAAAATAGAGTGTTCATTTGTAATTTGACACTGGGATGTTTTGCTTTACAGAAAGGTTTGCAAAGCAGCCCCGTACCTCCTGTTCTGTCAGGTAAGTGAGAAGTAAGTGGGCCATTGGGTTGGAGGGCACATGGGCGTGTGCAGAGGATTTACAGCGAAAGACGATCAGGACAAGGAAAAAAAAAAGAACAAGAGTGTTTTATTACTTCCTGGTATACAATAATAATTATTAAATTGAAGCTGCTCAGTGGCCACTTAAATATGAATGTAGCTATAAGACATAAATATACTTTGTCTAGCAGGCGCATATTGAATGCATACAAACCGTGCAGAGAGATTCTGCAGGGAATCTGCAGGGAAGAGATATTCTTTTCCCTAAATATTCCCATGATAGAGGAATACAGCTCTGTAGACTGTTAGGGAGTAGAATGTGTTAGTAGCATTAGTTAGGGCAGTAGCATTGAGGAGAGTTTGAAAAGGGACTCAGACCACTTAACATTCTTACTGACCCTCAGAGGTCAGTTTGTAGGCTACTCAGTCACAGCCCAGGATATGAGAAACCTTACCTTCAAGGAGCCCTAGCAAAACTATGTGAACTGCACATGCCCGGCCCCTTCTGACACATGAGCACCGGTCTTGCAGATACTCTGGGTTCCCAGACCTTGACATTGTGTCCTTCTCCTCATGTGTACAGGTCTGAATACCCTTCGTGGACACCAAGAGACAGTCTGAGACTCAGTCAGACTCTGATAAAATGGAAAACAGAACCCCACAGGGGAGAAATCCTGGGTTTTCCATTTCAATGACTAGAGAGGAAGCTGAACAGCCAAAAAAGGAACACTGAGCTGAATGAGGAGGACTGAGGGCTTGGGAAAATGACAGAGTTTTCCTTTGGTCCCTTGGAGCACCTCCATTCAATGTCAAGTTTAGGAAATACTCCCAAAGAGCTCTCAGGTGATGGTAAAAGTAATACACTCTTTGGAGACTTAAGCATTCTGAGAACAAAAGAGGAGGAGGGAGGAGAGAGAGAGGGAAAAAGGGAGATAGGAAGGGAGGGAGGGATGGAAGGAGATGGAGAGGGAGAAGGAGAAGGAGAGAGATAGGCAGAGTAATGTGTAACTTCTTATAATCTCCAGCAGTCTTTGAGCCAGAAACTCTGATAACAATATCATGTATATGACTCATTTTACCCTCACCCAAATTTTTTAAGGTATGGAAATGAATGAACCCAGTCTGACAGATGATGGAATTGAGGAGGTCAGCAAGGGGTTATAAGGAAATCACACATGGTCTTTAAACGTATCCACTTCAGAAAGTGCAGAAATCAAGTAGTCAGTAGTCCTGACAAGTCAATAGAGAGAGCTTAGCTATTGAGGTGCACTGACGGATGGAGAAATAGATAGTAGATAGATGATCAAGAATGAGGCCTCTTTCTATAGGAATGTGATGAGGGAGAGAAGCACAGCACAATAGGAATGTATCTAAGCTCAAATAAGTACCCTTGGGTGTTCGAGAGGAGGTCTTCTATTTATTGTGTATGATGTTTATTGCTTTCATAAATATCATTTCCTTTGATGTATTATTATTTCATTGTTTAAAGGATTAAACAGACTTAACATAGCTTAAGTAAATTTCCCTGTCACTAACTAGTTATTAGCAAAGAGGAGATTTGAACGGAGGTTGTCTGACTCCAAAATCTGTGCTGCTTTTAACCTCCTAGTGGTAAAGAGAAAGACAGGAGAGAAATACTTTTCAGAAAAGCCTGGGGTCATTGGTCCATTGGCTTATTAATTGATGGTATGCACGTTTATGCACCTTGTCTCTTCAAGACCTGGAAACATGACATTCTATAAAAACCATTTTCTTCAAATTGTAGTTGATGAGCTCAATTTATATTAAAATGTTACAGCCTAATGTAGAGCTGCAAGTGATAAGAACAGAAGAGAACCTATAGGATTCTGTTGAGCTTCCTCCTCTTGGAAGCTTCTGGAATTGCTATCGTCATCAGGGGCAACATGGCAGGTGCTGAAATGCTGACTTCCTGCCATGCAGTAACTTCCTGTGAGGAACCGTTCAAGTCCATCTCTTCAAGGAAATTCCCTGACTCTCTCTCTCCTTGGGCTCCCCAGCTCTTGCTCAGGCTGGTGCTGTGTCAACCAGTGTCTCGTCTACCTTATCTTCTTCTGCAATTATTTTAAGTTATTCCAGGAAAGATTATATCCTTTTCTTTTGAGCCTGCAAGGCAGCATTACCAAGACGTCCAATGCCCTACATTCAATTATTTTTATTGTATTTAATTAAGGTAATCTTTTAAAGAAGACATTATGGATTCTAGAGAAGGAAAAGAAATGAATAGTCATCCATTTGAGCACATTTGGATGAGAGGCTGGCATATTTTGAAATTCCTAAGATAACAGACATGGGCAAAGCCTCAAAGTCTATAGGCTTTCCCAAAGATGAGACTCACAGGCATAGAGTCAGAGATCTGAGGGACAGGGGTTCCTAATTGGAGTCCTCCGAGTTTCTTCCCATTATTCTACCTACATACTCATATCCACTCATAGAACAGTTGGACATTTATGAAAGCCTTAATATTCAAATGTCACTCTGACATGGGCAGAAATATAAAAATCACAGGCAGATTCCTGGACTGTGGAGACTAAAGGACTGCACTATGAATGTCTTCAGGCAAAGAAGAGAGGCGGGGAGAGCAGCTCCCCAGGCCTCCCCCTTTCTGCTCTCTCTCTCTCTGACTCACCCAGCACTCCTCTGTTCATCAGCCCAACCCACGGATCACTGACAGCTCAGAGCAGCTCCGGGTGACTGCTGTGCCTTGTAAGATTTCCTCGCCTGTGTGGAAATGAGAGAGGCAGAGAGGGAGAGACCACCAACCTGAGCTTAGCCCCACACCCAACAGAGAAGCGGGCTTGGGGAGACACAAAGCAGCTAATTGTGAGCAATTCCATGAAGGGGCCTGGGAAACTCTAGCACAGAGGGGTGGCTGTGACCCAGTAGGGCTGGCCTTGCATATTTCAACACCCTGGATGGTCAAACACCTGGGGTCTCTCATGAGTGCTACCCTGTTCTGGGAGATTTATGACGTTCACCAGATCTGGCAGCGGGTTAATTTACAGGAAAGGTAATGCTTCCCAGGCCCATTCTGCAATTCTGGGTTCCCCCAGGAGGGCTCCGGTCCCCTCTTGCTTCATTCCCCTTGAAATGCTGGCCATTTTCTACTACAAAGAAAGTGCTCTTTATTCTGGGGGATCGCTTGGTCTATTGATATCTCCTCTTGCTCATGTCTAAAGCAGCCCCTTCCTGTTCAAAGGACAGATATGAGACTCCCGTGATGAATGAGAAGAAGTGATCTTTGTGAAGTTCTCTTCCGATGTACTGCTTGAGATATGTAATCATGGGAAACAATTCTCTTTGAATTTCTCAGTAATGCTCATTTGTCTTCCTGAGGGATTTTCTTAGGAGAGCCAGGATGGCCTCAAAGTTCAAAACTACTCAGGATAGAAAGTAAGCATAGGATAAACACCTCACTCCAAGTTGGCCACTGCAGAGAAGGGGAGTTTTGAACTCAGAACCCTGACTGTCCATTTCTGATAGCTCTCTATGTAACGATGATGCCTGTGGCCAGAAGTAAAACACTTCATTTATTTAGCCATAATGGGGATGGAATTCAGGGCCCTGTGCTTGTTAGGCACAAGGGCTGTGTTCCTAGTCCTTTTGCTTGTAGTTGGTTGTTCAGATAAATTCTCGTGCTTTTGCCCAGACTGCTTTCAAACCTAGACCCACCTACTTCTGTCTCCTGAGTAGCTGGGATTACAGGCTTGTACTACTGTGCCTGACCAAAGAAAATGACACATAAAGAGAGGATTTCAGAATCAGCAACTGTTAGAGCAAGGTGGGTAATGAGAGGATTTAATTCAGAGATTCGTTTTGTGTTTTAGTACTGCTTTCTATAGCGCCTGACGGGTTTAGAGAGGAGTTTTCAGGGAGATGTAGAGGCCTAAGAAGTTTCTCCCATTTTGGTACAATATAAACAGTATAGGTTTATATCTACTTTATAGATTGGAGTTTTCAATATGATTTAATTTGGTAGGAAGTTTTTAATACTTTTAAACCAAGTGAAGCTAACAGCTGAGTGTTATTTTCGTTTCACCATGCAGATCACAAGTCTGCAGAACTAGGGCCCTTCAGCCCATGGGGTCCCCTCCCCTAATCTGCAGTGTAGCTGTGTGCATGTGCTAGAAACTACATGTGTGCGCCTCTCAGCTGTTATATTCTTCCCTTGTGAGCTGGGGAGGACACTGAAGATCATATTTCTGTATAGTCAGTTGGCTCCATGGTTGGCTGTTGATAAGGGAATTCAATGGAGACCCAAGGAACTCAGGATTATGACCCTAGGTTTGGCTCTGTATCTGGTTATATCCACTACCTCCAAATATCAAGAGCTCTACTTCCCAAACATCTTCTTGACATGCATAGAGAGCATTCATAAACTGCGACACCAACTTAGCTTTTAATTCTGTAACATAAACTGGTAAATGTGCCCTTGATGTATAGGAAATGAGGTTCTTTCAGAGCTACAACCGAAATTCTTGTTTTCTGACTTCTTTCTTTTTGCTTATGTGGTGCTGAGGAATCGAACCCAGGGCCTCAAGCATGCAAGGCAAGCGCTCTACCACTGAGCCACCTTCCCAGCCCAACAACCGAAATTCTTGTCTGTGACTTGAAAAGAGTCGAGCCTGGGCTTGTCACTTTTTTGGTAACAGCGCTAAGATGGTCAGAAGAGTCTACCCCAGACCACACCCCTCACAGTCATCCTTCCTTCCATAATGGCCCCTGACAGCTGCCACTTGGGCTCTTGGGGCACATCCCTCTGTGGATGCATCATCACCTCTGGCCACAGGTGACCTTGTGTTCATTCGTTGACAGTGATGGCATTACCAGCTTCATTATCAGCATCCCCTTGTCCACTGGCGAAGAGGCCATCATTATGCCTCAAGCTCGAGGTTACAATGAACCCAATTTCTACCTCCCATTTCTGGGATTGAATTCCTGACTCAATTTTCTGTCTGCCAG